TGGAGAAGCGGTGCCTCGATGCGCACCCGGGATCCGAACCCGGGCCACCAGCATCGCAGCGCGCGCACTTAACCACCAAGCCACAGGGCCGGCCCCTCCGGCACGTTTTGAGAATGAATAAAATAAAAGTACTGAGGAAGTTAGTGTCTGGAACCACATGAAATCCTTTCACGTAAACTTGCTTCACGTCCTTTCATCAGAGGCAAACATCTTCACTTGGAAAGAACAGCACAGGATACCTGCCAAGCTCACTGCCTGCGGCATACAGTGTGTGAAGAAAATGTGCCCTCGGGTGTTCAAAGTAATGAAAATATTTATTCAGTTAGCTGTGATAATATACTTGTGAGGAAAAAAATCATATTCTTACAAACCAAATAGAGTGCTGATCATAAACAAAGTGGTTTTAGACAAAATGAGAGCTTCATTGGTGTCTTGATGTCTCTGCATAATTTTGGACAAGATATAATTTCTTTTTCTTGTTCCAGTGAATTTGAGGAAAAGAGCTCATTAATGCCGAGGTGAAGGCAAGGAAAGTGGCTCAGAATTTCTGGAAGAGACTCAAGCGACCTGGTTGGGTTTTGGCAATAACCTACCTACACAGATTCACAGAACTAGATGCCCAGGTTCAGATCCTTCCTCATACCGGCTGTGTGACACTGGGCCGCCTAACTTCCTTGCGCCTCAGTTTTCTCATCCATGACAGGGGTCGTGCTCACCCCACAGTGTTGCGATGACTATTAAAAGAGATGAGAAGTGTAAAGAGCTCAGGATGGTTCTTGCATAGAGTGAGTCACAGCATAAGGCTTGATGACAAAGATGGTTTTCATAAAGGTTTTCCACTTTAATAAGATTGGAGAGGGGCCTTTTCACGTTTATAAAGGGCTAGTTCCTTCTATGAATACCAACCAAAAATCATTGTCTTAGACAATGCACCGTTCATCCAGCCTGGTCCAGAAATGATGGATTATAGGGTAGGTAGACAGTTCCCCCTGCTGGACAACAGAGGGATTGCAGAGAACTTGACACCGTTGATGGTACCTGAAAAGTTTTTATTTTTGTAAATTTTGGGGGGTTTATGGTTGTAAAAGCAATGAAATATGACTAACATAAACACATAAATATATAATTTAAGGATGACAATTTGTAGTTGCTTTGCTCTCCCATCTAGAGAAGTTCTAGTCACAACAGTACCAGCTGCCCGACCTTTGTGGGGAGTTCACCATGGGCCAGTGAGTGTGTCACATCACCTGTCACCTTCACGTGGACGAGGAGACGGGGGCACAACAAGTTAAGTCACTTGCTGGAGATCACACAGTCCTGGGCGGCAAAGCCGCACTGCACCCAGGGCAGTTTGAAACCACAGACAACAACCACTCACGGGAGTGGGGATGTATTTCTCCAAAAGCTTCCTCCTTCCTTCCCTTCTCTCTGCCTTGTAACGTCCACCTGCTGCCAGTTCTCTCCCCAGCTGTGGTGAAACGGTCCCCACATGGGCTGCCAGGCTCTCACCAGCAGAGCAGCGCCGTGGCTGCACGGTGGTGGATAGGGCAGTGGACAGGGGATAAGGCAGTCCGACTTGTGGCTCCCGCTGCCCATGTCCCTCCAATCCTTGTCCAATCTCTCTTCCCGCTGCTTATGCAAACTTTGCATTATCTCCATTCCCTCACCTCCTGTTCCTTCCTCAGCCGACCTAACCTCTCTTCTACCCAGTGATGGTAGAAGTTTAACAACCGACTTCGAAGGGAAAAGAATCCTTGATTTGTAGCACTTGCCGGTTTCCATGGTGTCAGGACTTCCGGCATGGCTGACTTCCTGATGGCTTCCCCCATGGCTGCCAATCTGATGTCCCTGAGCCCAGAGTTAACGAGAAATACACATACTAGTCTCATGTGGTCAGAGCACAATACCCTGTGTCTACCCCCACTATCCTGCTCACACTGCTCTCACGAAGGTCACCAGTAAGCTCGGATTTGCCAAATTCAATGGATGTCATTGGCCTCTTGGTTGCATTAGACTCTTCGATGTCTCCCTCCATGAAACTCTCTACTCTCGGCTCCTACAAAGCCCGGAGACCACCAGGAACACACCTCTAGTCAGATAAAGTCAGATTTATTAACTCGCTGTAGCGAGGGAGCCACAGGGACCATGGGGGTGTAAGGGGTGTTAGCAGGGCCTAGAGATAAGGTTTAGGCTTATGTTAGTGATTCTGGAGAGGAAGGAAGTGGGCGTTTTGTTCTGAGTTACATTATGTCAGGAAAGGCCATATCTTGTGGTCGTGTGGAGTTTTGTTTTCTCTGTGTTCAGATATGATTATCGCATGGTCTTGGTTTTGTCTTGTTCTGTCACGATTGCACGGTGGCGTTGTCCGATGTTAATTTTCTGTGAAAGCCCCTGTGCTCAGCATCGGATCCTCGTGGCCCAATGACTGGTTGCCAGGCCAACCACCAGCCTTCTGGGATTTTTTTTCTTTCTCACAGGTTCTCCTTGAATCTCTCCACCATCCCTCCCTTTCTCCTTAAGGAGCTAGTTTTCTTCTGCCCCCTCACCCAGTGTTGGAGTCTCTGGGGTTCTTTCCATGAACGATTTTTCTGTTCATTCTGTATCTTTTCTTTCTGTTACATCATCCTCTGTCATGATTTCAGCCCAGACTATACACTCGTGACTTGTGAATATATACCTCTAGCCCACACTTTTCCACTGTGCTTCAGAACGTTATCTCCAACTTCCAGCAAGTGGCAGTGGATTCTCCCTCAGACGCTTTAACCTCAACCACTACAGAACTCTGCTCCTGAATGATTGTCTTCTTCTGTGGCCTCTGTCACACCTCCACCATCTTGGTCACCAAAATTAAATCTCCAAGATCGTCCTTGACTCCTTCATATCCAGTTTAAACCCAGTAGTTGAAAGCTTTGCCACCTACTTTACCTCCCAAATATTTCAGCAACGCAGACTCTGCCCCAGCCCTGCTGCTCCTGCCTGGTTCGTGGCCTCTGCTGCCACAGCCGCCTCCTGACTGCTCTGCGGTCTCCAGTTCTGGACACTTCACCCTGCAAATCCATCCTCCAGAGATGCTGAAAGGATCCAGCCACACGGGACCTGACCCCGGCACTCCCATTCGTGCCCTTCACTGACCCTCACCACCTCTACCATCAAGGAGGAGACCCCTAAAGCAACACACAGGTCACTCTGCGCTCTGCCCATTAGCCTCTCCAGCCCCATCTGCCACCTCTGCCTGCCTCACGCTGTCCAGTCGTTTCTCACCTCTCGCGAATGCGATACTGACATTATTTCTGGATCACCTTTCCTCCCCTTCCCGCCCTAGTCACCCAGTTACTCCCTATTGATCTTTTACCATCGCTTCAGACCCCACGTCCCCCAGGAAAACACCCCTGGACCTCAGCCGGTTCCCTGCGTTCCGGCCTCTAGTCTGTGCCTCCTTCCCTGAGCGCCCAGGTCACCTGGGCATGTGCTGATCACAGTCTCATAAGGAGCTGTCCACGTCCCAGCAGACACGAGATCCTTGAGGAAGGTGACCACGTCCTACCGTCTTTGCGTCCCCAGCACCTTTCCTAGCGCAGGTGTGGAGTGCCTGTCTGTGACCGTGTGAGGGAGTGAACGGCCGTGTCCTAGCCGCCTGTGGACCCGGCCTCGCTGGGCTTCAGCGTATTCATCTGCTTGTTGAGGTGGTTGAAAAATTAACTGTAAGGAAACTTGTAGCTCTAAAATGCTCCGAAAATATAGATAAATGAAAACATTCCAAGAACCACAATTGAGAAAATATGTATTTGTTGGGAACAGTAGATGGCAGTAGAACATTGTTTTTCAGCATAGCGTTTGCACAACTTAAACTTGACCAAATACCCATAGAAAAGCTAATAGTCACAGAGCGAGATTTTTTAATGCCTCTGCACTTAAGTTACAACACTGTGTCCACTCACTCGGTACTCAGGGCTTGGGGACAACATCACTACCAATTGATGCTGCTGCCACTGCAGTGCACCCCGGGCCGCAGGAGCGGAGAGGAGGGCATGCCCCTCACCCTGGAGCCATCAGCACAGTTATTCAGTGGGAGACAGCCCGTTTGCTCTCTGGACCTAATTCTAAAATCCCAGCTCTAAGACCTCCTGGGACCAGTGTGGCAACATTCCAGAAGGGACTCTTGGAGCCTCTCAGTGGGCGGGAGTGATGAACATTTGTCTATAATTGCCGTTCCAAGAACTCAGCTAAGCTACATGACAAATCGTGTCTTTCTAAATTCTGACACCTGAGAGTTAGACACTGTTATGCCCATCTTACAGACATAAAAACCTGAAACTGAGTGATTAAGGAAATCATCTTAGTAAGTAAGGAGCTTCCAACTTCAATCTCCTTGCCGCAGTGTCCATGCTCTGTCCACTCTGTCACACTGACACCGTGACCCCTGAGTTGAGGTAAAGGTTGTTTCTTAGGCAGGCACAGCATTGGAACAAACAAGTGATGGAGTTGATGAGGGTCAGTGTAGACCTGCACTACACCTAGATCATAGCTGAATCTCCACGTCAGTTCCAAGTCACTAGGTCAACGGAGGATAAAGTCCTGAGCTCAGATAACGTCACCTGGAACGCAGAAGTGAGTTAGAAACAATAAAGGCCAGCGTTCACTGAGCATGTCAAGGTACAAGGCGCTGTTGTTAGCTCACAACATGCAGTACTGTCTTTATTCTCAGATCAACCCTCTGGGGCTGGTGCAGTTACTCTGTCTACTTGCAGATGGGGACACTGAGACACAGGCTTCAAGGTCACTCGAGGTTGGTGTTAGAGCTAGAATTAAAGCCCAGACCCAGCTTCCTGGTCTGAGGCCTCAGCGCCCGACCACTGTACAAACAATAATAACAATAGCCATTACCCTCACATAGCCCCTGCTCTGAGCCAGTCCCTGTCTGAAGCGCACATTAATTCCTGCTGTCCTCATGGTATCATGGGCAATGTGCGGCTATGGCTTCTGCTTTCAGATGAGGAAACTGAGGCACGGAGAAGCTAAATGCCTTTCCCAGACAACACAGGTAGTAAGCGGCAGAGGGGGCCTCAAACCACACATTTTGGCTGCAGGGTCTGCACATTAACTCCAAAAACTCAATGTTAGTGTGCATATCTTAAATGTATTGGAGTACATTTGAAATTTGTAGAGCATATCCAGTTGATGTATATTTTAAGACTGCTTATCTCTCCAAACCAGTTCCAGAATGTTCTCTCTCTCTCCCTCTCTAGCACAAAGATGATTATTG